GAAGGTGGCTCAGTGGTAGAGTGCTTGCCTTGCATGCATGAGGCCCTGGGTTCAATTCCTCAGCACCACATAAGCAGAAAAAGCTGGAAGTGGCGCTATAGCTCAAGTGGTAAAGTGCTAGCCTTGAGCTGAAGAGCTGAGGGACAGCACCCAGGCCCAGAGTTCAAGCCCCACAACCAACAACAAAAACAAAAACAGAAGTGGAGCTGTAGCTCCTGATAGAGTGTCAGCTTTGAGTGAACAAGACAAGTAATAGTTCAAGGCCCTGAGTTCAAGTCCTAATACTAGCACATACCTACACACACACACACACACACACACACCACACACACACACACACACACACCACACACAAAAAATAGTAGTAATTCTAGTTGAACCGTCTTGTACTGAGTACAAAGTATATAGTAGCTGTCCCTTGGAAAACATAGACTATTACTAGGGAACTACTTACAAAGCTATAAAAGCTGGAGCACTAAGAAGACATGAAAGCATGTTATTAATGTTCCAGTGTGTGTGAGGAAGACTTCTTGAAAGATCTCAGTGTGGATGAGAGTTTACAGTGGATGTGGGATGTGAGTCTCCTTGATTTTGTGGACTGTAAGAGCTCCTCATTCACCTGAGCCTCTCCCCCTCCCCCATCTTGTCTCTTAGCAAAAATACTTTGACTCAGGAGACTACAACATGGCCAAAGCCAAGATGAAGAATAAACAGCTGCCAAGTGCAGGACCAGACAAGAACCTGGTGACTGGTGACCACATCCCCACCCCGCAGGATCTACCCCAGAGAAAGTCCTCACTCGTCACCAGCAAGCTTGCGGGGTAACCTGGGCCCTCTTCTCCTCCCCTTCCTCACCCACTGGCCTTTCATATATTGTAGGCAGGGATGGAGTGGACACTTAGTCAGATCTTTTTAGCTTGCTAGCCAGAAAAAAAAAACTGATGCTGCAGGGGGGGCTGCTGAGAAGGTAATGTAGGTTGAAGAGGGGCTCCAAGTTCATTCTTAGTTAAACCGAGAGATCTACACTCTACTGTAGCCCAGATAGGGGCCTAGAAATAGAGGGATTAGGGTTGGATAGTACTGACAACGCTTTGTCTTATGTGAGTAACTGGGAGGATAATGATTTCTTCTTTTGGTAGAGAAAGTACCAAAATTGGCTAGGCTGAGCCTCGGAATCATGTGACAGATTTAATACCCCAAGGCTCACCTGACCTGACCTAGTTGGGAAAGGCAGATTGAATGAGTCTTGTTTTCTGTGCTTCTAAGTGTTTTGTCCCTTAGGCTGCTATTGCTTCATGTTTCCATTATGACAGGTTTAGAACCTTCAAAAAGGAAAACTAATTTGCTTGCCTAAAACTACAGTGCCCACTTTCCCTCCTTAACATCTCTTACAGTTTGCCCTAGCTTGCAAATAATACAAAGATTGATGAAAACTATCCATGGAAAATGGGTACCTTCTCTCTCTTCCAGCATGTTGCTTTCGAAAGTATCATGGCATAGTGAAAAGAGCAGTGGTTTAGAAGTCAGTTTATCCGAGTTCTGTTTCCATTTGGTCTTAGCAGGAACTGATGTATAACCTTGGCTGGGTTATTCATATTCAGCCTGTCTGTGTTTCTGTTTCCTCATCCATGAAATAGAGTTAACCATACAAAATTGATTCTGATTCTAAAATCCTGTACCTGCCAGCTGAAAAACTCTGTACTTATCTGTCCTAAAACTAAAAGTGCAGAAGACCCTGTAGGTGAGCTTCCACATTATAATCCACAGAGGCAAAACTTTAGGGCTACAGGAGGAGAGGGGAAGTTTGAGGTTTGAGGACTATATATTTAGGCAACAGACTTTAATAGGTGTATCCTGGTCTTGAGGCTCAATTTAAAAAAAGCCACATACACCTTGAAGAAGCTAGCCATGAGCTGGGAAGGTGGCTTAGTGGTAGAGTGCTTGCCTCCCATGCATGAGGCCCTGGGTTTGATTCCTCAGCGCCACATAAGCAGAAAAGGCCGGAAGTGGCACAGTGGCTCAAGTGGTAGAGCGCTAGCCTGAGCTGAAGAGCTCAGGGACAGTGCCCAGGCCCAGAGTTCAAGCCCCACAACCGACCAAACAAAAAGCTAGCTAGGCTCAGTTATGCCCTCGTGGAGACCCATGTCTCAGGTGTACTTTGGATGTCTGCTGTGTTGTTAGGGAGAAAGGAAGAAAAGGGATACACTGAGCTAGCCCTGGGACTTAGTGCTACTGCAGGGCTGAAGCAGCAAGCTTTTAAGAGATGATTCACTTTAGAAGAAGCTGGGGAAAGTGTTTATGTTTAGGAAAGGAAGACTGAGAAATCTGCCGTCTACTCTTAGTAAGCCAGTTCTTGTGCAATCAGGAGGCAGCAGTGCTGACTCATAAACATGTGGGAGAAGAGATTGTGGTAACCAGGATCTTTAGTTCTCACCAGCTTGGCCTGAGTCTTACTGAATGTAGCCTGCCACTTCCGACAAAGAGCACCAGGCTGAAAACTACTCAAGAGAACAAGATTCTCTACTCCTTTCTTGCCCTTCATCTCACAAATTCTGATTTGCCAAACACTAGGCCCATTGAGAACGACTTGCTGGTATGCTGGGGGGGAGTGGGAGGGAGGGGTAGATATATTGCTGACCAGCCAGTCCACTTGCTGGCTGTCACTCAGATTGGTTAGAAAAAGGTTGGTGAGGAAGGAATGGAGAGCAGGATCCCCAGACTCCCTGGCCCCCCAAACTCCTTGACTGTCACCTGTAATTGTATATAATTCATGTGTTTCTTGCTCCATTTTCTCATGCTGTCACCCTTAATCTAAAGTCCATATGGGAAGGGGAAAATGCTCAACATCGTTGTATAGTTTCCTTGACTGTCCCAGCCATGTTGTACATAGATATGTCATGTTATTATATATATAAATATATATATAATTTTGTACGTTTTCTTCATCTCTGATCTTCTCGAATTCTGTACTTTTTTTCTTTTCTGTCTGAGCTGCCGTCTCTTTCAGTCAAGTTTGAGTCCTAAAGATATTCATAATTAGTCTGGTATTTAGGAAAGAAGAGAAGGAATAAGAAAATCAAACTGGTCAGGTACCAGTGGCTCATACCTGTAGTCATATCTGCTTGAGCAGCCAAGATCTGAGGATTGTGATTGGAAGCCAGCCCAAGCAGCAAACACTGAGACTCTTATCTCCAATTAACACTAAAAAGCCAGAAGTAGCCAGGCACCAGTGGCTTATACCTATAATCCTAGCTACTGAGGAAGCTAAGATCCAAGGATGATGGTTGGAAGCCAGCCTGGGCAGGAAAAGTCTGTGAGACTCTTTTTATCTCTAGTTAATCACAGAAATAGCCAGAAATGCTTCCATAGCTCAAATGGTAGAGTGTTAGCCTTGAGCAAAAAAACTCAGGGACAGTGCCCAGACCCCAAGTTCAAACCCTAGGATTGGCACAAAACAACAACAAAAATGGTTAGTCTCACACCAGCAGGTCATCTGTAAGAAAACAAAGGGGCGAGCTAGTCTTACATTTGCCACCTGTTTCCACAGCTTGACGTACATAGCTTCCTTAACAAAAGTCTTGGTAAAATCCAATTGCAAATGTTTTGATTAAACTCAAAGTGACTAAATTCACTCCAAATAGCGTCTGCACGGTCTGGCTGGCCTCCATGTGGTGACCACTTCACCACTGTGTGGCCTCCAGTGCTGCCAGAGCCTTAGGTCCCTTTCCTAAAAACATCTAGTTATTTGGTGTCTACAGAATTGTTTTCCTGTGTTTATTTTCTACAAGTACCTCCAAAAAAGGCAAGAAATGTTCTATTCGTAGATAGGTAAAGACAAGTTCTCTCTCCCTCTCTTTTTACAAAAAGTTCTATAATTCTCTTATGCATAAGACCACGGTGTGGTAATGAGTACCTGCTTCTCTGGAGTCAGAAGTAGGAGGATCAGGGCTGGGAAGGTGGCTTAGTGGTAGAGTGCTTGCCTAGCATGCATGAAGCCCTTGGTTCAATTCCTCAGTACCACATACACAGAAAAAGCCAGAAATGGCTCTGTGGCTCAAGTGGTAGAATGCTAGCCTTGAGCAAAAAGAAGCTCAAGGAGAAAGAAAAGAAGTAGGAGGATCACAAATTTAAGGCTAGCCTGGGCAAAGTTAGCAAGATCTTCTCTCAAAAAAAAAAATGGCTAGAAGTATGGCTCAACTGGTAGAGGTCCCCAGTATCATTACAAAGAGAGAGAGGAGATAGCCGGGCGCTGGTGGCTCACGCCTGTAATCCTAGCTACTCAGGAGGCTGAGATCTGAGGATCGCGGTTCAAAGCCAGCCCGGGCAGGAGAGACCGTGAGACTCCTATCTCCAATAAACCACCAGAAAACCGGAAGTGGCGCTGTAGCTCAAGTGGTAGAGCGCTCGCCTTGAGCTGAAGAGCTGTGGGACAGCGCCCAGGCCCAGAGTTCAAGCCCCATGACCGACAAAAAAAAAAAAAAGAGAGGAGAGAGAGAGAGAGAGCACGCCATGCCTACCTATGTTAGGTAGTCTAATGATAAATTGTGTGGAGGAATCATGGGAGACTGGGATGAAATTATGAAATTCAAGGTTTTCCCCTACTACTTGACAGTGTTTTTTTTTTGTGTGTGTGTTTTGTTTTTTTTCTTCTGTGTTTGTCCACAGTGGCCAAGTTGAATGATGCTGCCGGGGGCTCTGCCAGATCCTGAGATGCCGCCCCTGGGTCCTGTGCTGGCTCCTCCCCTCCCTGCTTTTGCAGCCGGGGGTCGGGTGGTGGCTTGGGAATGGGCTGGAGAGGCCGAAGCCCCCGCCCGCTGGTGTCCTAGCGCATGGAGGCCCTTAGCCTGAGCACCAAGACCTTGACCTTTTTTTTTGTTTCACCTTTTTTTCCAAATAACTGTTGGGAGAACTCTCAATGAAATCCTGTGGGTGTGGTGGAGAGGGTGGGGTGGGAGAGTCGGTGGATATGAATTTGAATTTAGAGTTCATAAAAAAGCATTCCTGACTGTCTTCCTCCTTACCTGTATGGTTGGTGTGGGGTGGGTATAATGGGGGGAGCTGTGGAATAGCTGAGTAGGGGTTTAAGTTCTGCTGTGGAGATAAATGCCTTATTTGAATGTGGCTGGAGAGCTGGTGCCAGGTAAAGGCAACTGGGGCTTCAATCGATGGAAACAGCTCCTCGGGCGCTCAGAGCAAGCTGAGAGCTCAGGGTAACTGTTCACTAGGCGCTGTCCTTGAAATAGATTTGCTGTGGGGAGAAGGACAGTGAATGCCGTGAGTGTGAGGCGCCCCCCAGAGCCTGACTTTTGTAGTATTTGAAATAAAAAGACCAAGGAAAAACCCCACCCGGAAATACTCTGAAGCAGTTGGTATGATCTGCTGGGGTTCCAGAGGGTGAAGAGAACAAAAGTAAACACCCCATTCAGGGGAGAAGGTAAGATGGGGCCCTGACTTTCTAAGGAAGAAAAGGGGCTGTAATATGGGGTGCACCTGGCTTCCTCACTTACATCACTTAGGGAGAGCAGGAATGGGGGCGCACAGACCAGGGCTTACCCCATCCATCCCTTTGTTCTGTAGCTAACGTAGAAGATAGATGAGAAAGCGGCTCACAAAATGAGAGATTGAAGGTATTTGACTTGAATAGTTTATGGACCCCTAAATCTTGGTTCAGGCTCAGCAAAAAAAGAAATGCCCATTCTTCCTTTTCTCTTTTAGTTTCCATTCCTTTTTTAAGTTCTATGTTTGTGAAGGAGAAATATGATCGCTTAGTAATAAGTCAAGAAAAATATATCTTTCTGAGAACTGGAGGCATGCCTCAAGTGGTTAAAGTGCCAGCTGTGAGCAAAAAAGCCAAGCAAGAATGTCAGTTCCTAAATTTAAGCCCCAGTACACACACTCTCTCTCTCTCTCTCTCTCTCTCATACACACACACACACTTTCTGCTTGTGGCCAGCAGAAAACTGACTTTTTCCTCATGATGTACCACCCTGCATGCTGGACTCCTGCCACTGAATGGAATTAAAGCTGCTTGTTGATGCCGTGTATGACAGAAGCACTTACCAAAGGAGAAATAATAAACTCACACAGGTCTCCTCTGGCCTTTCCCATCGCCTCAGTAGTCACTGTACAGATTGAAACTATTTGCCCATTTTACCCAACTTTGATTAGTTTTGATTGTAGTATTTTCCCAAATGGGATTGCTTCAAAGTAGATAAACAAGGTCCAGGAGACAGTATAGAGATATTAGTGTTGGGCGTGGGGGACCCGGTGATGCTGCTCTACTGGAGAAGGAATCTTGGCCTAGTATGTGACTCATTCTCAGCTCTCCAAATAAATTTTCATCAACTCAGGATGTTGCTGACTTTCTCTCTCCTGATTCAGCCAGGGGGTTATGATGTATCCTCACTTCAACAGGTATACGCACAAAGCTCTTATGAATGCAATGTAATATGAGTGCTGTAATGAGGCTTCTCAATCTCGTGATTTCTTTTCAAGATGTTTCTAGGGAATATTCATTAGTGGAGCTCATTTCAGTACAGGTGAGAAAGTTGAGGTCTGGAGATAAATTACTTGGAAGATGGCAGAGCTGGTTAGCTGAAGTTCATGAATTAGTATTTAACAGGTTTTTGGTTTTTTGTGGGTTTCTTTGCCAGTCCTGGGCACTGTCCCTGCGCTTCTTTTGCTCAAGGCTAGCACTCTACCACTTGAGCCATAGCACCACTTCTGGCTTTTTTCTGTGTATGTGGTACTGAGGAATTGAAGCCAGGGCTTCAAGCATGCTAGGCAAGCACTCCACCACTAAGCCACCTTCCCAGCCCTCTTAACAAGTTTTTAAAAAATGGTTTTCATTGTGACATTTTCATGTGTATAATAGGTACTTTGATCATCTTTAGCCTCCAATTACATTGTTCCCCACAATTTCCACATTCCCTGATCTTTAATTTCAAGCTGTAATCAAGGGATGTTTCTAGATACCTGTATTTCTATTTAAAACTTGCCATTTGAGGCCAAACACCAGTGGCTTACACCTGTAATCCTAGCTACGCAAGAAGCTGAGCTCTGAGGATTATGGTTTGAAGTCCCAATAGCCACCAGAAAACTGGAAGTGGAGCTGTGGTTCAAAGGGATAGCACCCCGGCCCTGAGTTCAAGCCCCATGACAGAGTGGGGGGAGGGGAGAGAGAGGCGCAGACAGAAGAAACCTAAACTAAGTTGACAATAATACACACCATGTACAAGTCCTTGCATGAAGGCATGTACGGAGCGCCCTCTGCTGGGCTTGGAGGGCAGATCTGTTCTACCCAGGGATGAAAGGACATGATGTGGCATACAAATAAAAGCAAGTTGACGTGAAAGTCAGGAGATGAGTTATTAGCTGGATTTTGTTACAGACAAATGTGTTACCAGTAAAGATAAGATGGGCGCTGGACCTAGAGGTAGAGGCCTGTAATTCCAGCACTTGGAAGGAAGCTAAAGAGGATCTAATTTCAAGGACAGCCTCACAAAAAAGTTAGACCCTCAGTAAAATCAATAAAAGTTGGGCGTGAGTGTGTGTACCTGTCACTAGCTAGGTTGGAAGTTTAAACTGGTTCAAAATCCAGGTTGGGGCTGGGAAGGTGGCTCAGTGGTAGAGCGCTTGCCTTGCATGCTCGAGGCCCTGGGTTCGATTCCTCAGCACCACATAAGCAAAAAAAGAAAAA